AGTACCGGCAATATTAATGTTACAGGCAGTAATTTTGGTAAATCGTATATTTTTTGCGAATTTTGATGGTCCAATGAAAATCGTAATTGCTCTATTCATATGTTTTAGTGGTTGCGATTGATGAATGGGGTGAATTTATAAACATGCAGTTAGAACTTGTATATAATAATAGCTTTGTTCGCGGTAAGAATCCTGAACCGAATTATTACTAATAGTAACGATTTCGCAGGCGCAGTAGTTACAAAGCGTTCGCGGTAAAATTATTATTGGTTTTGAACAGCTTGTCTATACCTGAAACACCGAGATATAATAGGGATAGCGCGCGCGGTGAAAATTCAGAATTGATAATGAATCAGGCATGCGCTTAAAGTATGAATTAGTAATTCTGAATCAGTTCAGGATTGTTACCGCGAACGAAGCTAATATTAGAATGTTAGTACGTAACGAGGTCGAGTTAAAAAAGTGCCTATAATTTTTTTTATTTCGTAATGTTCTTTTTGAATTCAAAATTTTACACCTGAGCCAAAAACCCCCAAAAGTTACAAAAACAAATTTTGGCTGACCTTGTTCTATAAATACCTCAATGATCTCTGCTCTTCTGAGCTTTCTTCCTTTACCCCAAGCCAGAGTCAAGGTCAGTTCTTCTACTCCTTAGGTTTTACCCGAAACAGCCGATTTTTAAGTTCATTTTATGTCATTTCAATAATGATCGTCTTTTACCCCTAAAAATTAATAAAAAAAGAAAAACTACTATGATACCTAACGCGAGTATATTTTTGCCTCGATTATCCCATGTGTCAAATTTAATTTTTTTTTATATATATTAATTTGACATTGACCTAGATTTAACAAAATATTCGAGAGAAATTAATTTCCTTAAATAATAATAATGATAATAATAATAATAATAAAAATGTTTTTATTATTTGGTAATCTTAATTTAAACAACAGTAATGAGTTAATGAAGATGGAAAATAATGAATATAATTGGAAAATAATGAATATAAACACATTTTTCGAATAAAGCACTTCTGTATAAATATCTATTAATTAAAGAAAAAATAAACAGGTATATGTTAAAAAATGTGTTTATTGGGACGAAATACCAAAATTACTGGAGCTATTTAAAGTCATTGAACATAATTATTAAATAACAACAAATAGTCTAGGCACTAAAAAGCATTCACCAAAAAAAAATAGCAAAAATCAAGAAAATATTAAAGCACAATATTATATAAAAAAGCTTTTTTTTTTAAGAAAAAATTGCACCCCTACTTTTTTATTATTTCTAAAGCCTTTATACCGTGTAGAGCGGAATTTATTTTTATTGATACATTTCAAAATTTATCACACCTGTTAAATTTTAAACCACATATCAACTAAAAATAATTCCAGTATAGAAACAATGAAGCTACACCGTATATATTTAACAAAAATATTTACAAAAAAATTAGATATATACATTTTTTTAACACAGCTGTAACAAAATATCGTTAATTGTCTAATTGTATGCCTAAATATTGAATTATAAAAATATAGACTAATAGTTAGCTCTATTAAATATTACCAATTCTTTCTAAAATAGTATTACTGAAAATGTCGAGCACTAATTTAAATTATATTTTGGAAAATTAAACTTTTTCTATTGTACAATTTGAGTCTAGTTTTGTATAGTATTATAGGACGTCACTGTAATCAGCAATCTTTTTTCTTCTATCCTCATACCATTTCCATATCAGTGTAGTTGTTTTTTTTTATTTTTCGTAGCTATACAGGGTTGCCATTTTTTAAATGAAATAATTTATTGTTTCGTAAACCGTTGGTAACACAAAGTTGGTTAAATGTGGAAAAAGTTGTATATTTTGAAGCCCAATCTGAGAACATTTTGAAAACCAAAATATCAGGGCCAGAGATATTCAATCAAAAACAAATTAGTTCAATTTTTTTATTCCACTTAAGAAAAACTGATTAAGGAGGGTTGAATTTAAAAAAAAAATCATAATTTAAAAACGAAAAGCGATATCAACATGAAATTTTTAGTAAAAATCAAGCTCTATAAGAAGATGAAGCCTATTGATTCTGAAAAAATCTAAATAAATTGGGGGGTTAAAATATTAAAAAAAAATCTCAACTCAAAAATGAAAAATGATATCAACTTGAAATTTGAAAAAAAGGGGGGTTTAAGAAAGGGTTAAAATTAAAAAAAATAATAAATCAAAAACGAAAAGCGATATAAACATGAAATCTTCAGGAAAATTAAGCTTTATAAGGGGTGAAGCCTATTGATTCTGAAATATGACTGAAAATGGGGTAAGGAGAGGGGGGTTTGTTAAACTGCGAGGAGTATAATATAGAATGCCAAGCATTATATATCTTCATTCTAGTTACATTATTGTATTTAGTATTGAAAATGCATTAAAATGTTCCATCGGAATAATACGGTTCATATTCAAATAAAGTTGATGGTGGTTCCGCATTTACATCATATAAAAAAATTAAATGAGTTATAAAATGCACAATATGATATAAAATAGAAAGAGTTTGTGTCTATTTTTTAAATAAACGTACTGTATTAGAAAAAAGAAATTAAACTAATTTGTTTTCTTTTGAATATTTCGCCAAACGGGCCCTGCTATTTTGGTTTTCAAAATGTTCTCAGATTGGGTTTCGAAATATACAACTTTTCATAATTTAACCAACTTTGTGTCACCAACAGTTTTCGAGTTTTCAATTAAAAAGTGGCCATCATGTATAACATGTACATTACACAAAACCAGACCCAATTAACTTCAGTTTTTCAAATATATGAATTACAAACATACAGGGTAAATATTCAGTTGATACTTTTTAAATAAGTATAGAATAACTTTTTTCAAAAAACTCAAGAAGAAAGATACAAAATTACAAAATATAAATCCGGGACTGGACTTAGGTATCAAAAATTAGACTAAATGAGAAGTCCGTTTGTGTTTTTATATTTTTACATTTTGTTAAATTTTTCTTATGAATCTCGCTTGACCGGTTATTGTAATTCAGTCGGATGTGATATCAGTAGCGCGTTGTTTATTTATGGTGAGTGTCTTCAAAGTGCTTCCTTCACCGGTGTTTTACATTGAACGCTTTAGATTTCGAGCCCATCCTAGTACCAGAACTTTTATTTATCTGGCTCAACGGGCTAGGGATACGGTTGATTTGCGCAAACATCGTGGAGGTCATGTAGCTAATGTGTTTCTGTTTTAAAGCTTCAATGAATAGTGACAACTTTAACACATTATTTAAGATATGACCTTCTCTGTATCTGTAACATGTGATGGGTGGGTTAGTTTTTTCTTCATCTGTTTGAGGCATTGAATTGAGGACGAAGAGCAGCTATTTATCTTGTTACTTTAAAAATTATAACGCTACACAGCTGATAGAGACACGCAAACTAAGTCGGCAATGTGGATTTGAAAGAATCTGATTTATTTTTGAATTCGGTTCATTTCTGTGATTTGCTGGCTCTTCAATGTCACCTAATAAATCAGCTACTATTCGCAATGTACGTTTGGTCATACGAAATCCCATTTTAAACTGCTGTTCATATAATTCAGCAAAATAATTGTTTCTTTGTTGTATTATTCGCACTCGAGGTATTCTTCATCATCTAAAGACTCTTGTTGTCGTTTTGTATTTGGTATCAAATAAAATCAAAGAACTTAGCTTTAGGCCTCATTAGGCCCATTGTGCATCCTCCTAAGATGATAGGCACCTCCTAGGTCGTGAGCCAGCCTACAGATTTAATGTAGTTGACAAAGTCGCCAAGCGGTGCTTCTCTTATATCGGCCGGTGTTAGCCGATACTCGCCGAACACAAATCTTCTAATAAATGAGAGCGTCGAGCAATCGTAGAGGATATGCTCGATGGTCTCATCTTCTTGTTCGCACCCTCTGCAGAGTGCGGATTCTGATAGCCCCAAGGTATGGAGATGCTTCCGTACTTGGCAATGACCAGTCAGAATGTCTGTTACTAGGCGCAGATTCTGTCTAGTCAAATATTTGTTTGCTGCAGTGTTGTCAGGATAACTTAAAAGCTCCCTATATCAAAGGGAGTGAGACTAAGACTGACTTCCATGGCTCTAGTCGGTGTCGTTTTCATGGCTCCTGTTATGTTGACATGCTGTTCTTTGAATTTGTTCTAGTTTACGGATAGCTGTTAATTTTTGGGTTTTCGGTACCCAGACAACTGCACCGTATGTTAGCATAGGTCTTATGATAGCCGTGTAAGTCCATGCGACGACTCTGGGGGAGAAATCCCAGGTGCGCCCCACGGTTCGGCGGCATTGTTCATAAGCAATGTATGCTTTTTAAACTCTATTTTCTAAATGCGAGTTCCATGTTAACTTGCTGTCAAAGGTGAGACCTAGGTACTTCACCTCTGTTGCAAGGTTTAGTTTTGTGTTTAGGAGTTCTGGAGGTTTTAATTCCACTTTCATCCTTTTCCTTGTGAAAAGGACCATTTCTGTCTTCTTAGGATTGATAGACAGTGAAAGGTCCTTGCACCAATGTTCTATAATTTTTAGAGCTACTTGCATTCTTTCGCAAAGTAGACAAGTAGACAGGACCTTATTGGATACAGTTTGAAATAAATTAATGAAAGTTTATTTTTGAGTTTTTTTTTTTTGAAAAAGTTGTTTATTACAGTTTAAAAAAGTAGGTTTCAACTTAGGATTCACCCTGTATATCGCTTAGTATTTTAGATCGAAAACTAATGTATTAAATTATAAAACAACCAGAGTATTAATTTCCTGTTCGGATTTTCCAAGCCAATTCGAATCTACAATTTTCCATTCAGTTCATGCGATGTTTGTTTTCTAAAGTAATTTACTTTGGTACTAGACATTTTCGAACGTCTAATGATTAAATTATCTAACAAGCACTAAGGGACATGCCATGCATGCTTTAATAAGCTCTTTTATGATTAGCACGACAAACTAAAAAAATAATATATTATTTGATATAAACCTTTGAGCGATACGTGTCCGGGGGAGGCACATGACTGTTAAACACCTGCAAATACCCGCCAGTTAGCTCAAGTTGCTCTCGGAAACGCATTTCCATCTGACCCCGTCGAAATTTCAAATACAGGATGATCATTAAGAACACTTAATGACCAAACTTTAAGATGGACAATAATCCATTGACCAAAACGTAAAATAAATAAAAACTAAAAAATTATCTAATCCATTGTCACAAAATAAAACGAGCGACCGTTTCTCGTCGGAAAACAACTACTGCTTTGGCTAATACCGCAACCGGCATTGCATTATATCGAAAAACAGCAGAGACAGAAATTTTATTTAAACATTCTAGTTTTAATTTTGGTTACCAAGGAGAACGTCATTCTTGGACCGGCTTCGCCCTTATTGGGGCTTATCAGCAAATAAGAAAACTTCGATTTTAGTCTCTAATGAAATCTGCAAGTGCATTAAATTCAGTCGCTTACATGGATTTAGGTTGAGAGAGAAGTCACAAAGTAAAAATGGTAGTGCCATCTGCGTTTAGTAAGCAAAATCTAAGCTCGATTTTAGTATTCAGTTTAAAAACTAGGTGGAACGAAAAAAATTCTAAACTCAAATATAAATGAAAACAAGAAATTCTCTAAAATATTTTATGAAATAATTTCTTGTTTTCATTCATTAACTTAAAAATGCTCAATTTTAAGACAAAAAGTTCATATAAACAGTTAAATCGCTGGATATTTTCCAATGCGTCATCAAATACTTTTTATATAGCATCATGTATATTACCGTAAAATATGGGAGAATGTTTACACTTATCTATCTTTTAATCAATGAAGTAAGTTCTTGTGGTCATTCATTACATACTTAAATAGGCATTCCAAACCACATGACCAAGTAAAAACGGTTGCCTAATGACGTTTCATTTTTTTCGTGTAATATTACTTAATCTGGAAATATATACAAGGTGTCAATTTAAAAACTTCCCCTTGGTAATATCGGCTAATAGAAAAGAATATCAAACATTTCTTAGAACAGGTCGATTTTTATTCCAAGGGGAACACCTGTCTATCATGTTCTCAAATGTCATACATTATTTCCCTCCTCTCAGTCACACTAACCAATGCAATTTAAATAGGGAAAGGACAAAGTATGACGAGACATCATTGTAAAAGGTAATTTTATGGAAAATTCAACAATATGACTATTAATTGCGTTACTTTTAATTTTAGAGCCCTCTAGCAAAATAGAAAACTTCATAATGAAATAATTTAATGAGTAGCAAAAAATTTGCTATTTTGGTTGATTGCAATTAAAGTTAAATTGATTTAATTCTAACATTAACGGCAACATTCTTATGCTTATTTAAGTCATGTTTGTGATAGTTTACAGTATGTAATAGTTCTTTATTTCGATGGAGGGCTCTAAAATCAAAAGTACCGCAATGAACAGTCATATTACTGAATTCTCCATAAAATTACCGTTGTCAACCTATTTAAAATGTACTGGTTAGTGTAACGGAGGGGGGGTAAATGACGTTATGACACTTGAGGATATGATAGAAATGAGAGAAAGAATACAAATCTACCTGTTTCCAGCAATTTCCGATATTATTTTTTTATTACGAAATATTGCCAATTGAAAATTTTTAAATTGACACACTACCTATTTAATAACTGACTGAAATAGAACAATGATTACCTTGTAAGATAGTTATTTACAGTGTAGTTTTGTTTTTAAATAATGACTGTAGTCTGTAGTGACCTGTATGGTTTCGGTAGTTTTTACATTAAAACTACCATTTGGAACACGAGACCGAGAAAGGCGACAAGCGACCATGTAAGGAGACCGAAATGTGTCTCTTACGTCTGAATCACATGTAATTAAATGAGGCACATTTGGGATAGCGTGACCGATGCAAGAGAGGCGACAGTCCTTTATCAAGGCAGTATTTGCCTTAAAGATACCATTTGGGAACGTGAGACTGAGACAGACGACAGGCAGAAAATACTGCCGTGTTCAAAGTGCTTTCGCGTCTCTTTAATGTACTTCATTTAATTATATGTGTTGAGACGTAAAGAGACCGTTTTCGGTCGCCTTACGTGGTCGCTTGTCTCTGTCTCCTGTCGCAGTCTCGCCTTACCAAACGGTCCTTTTTATAAAGAAAGATTCAAAGTTATGTACATTGGCCAAACAGCTAATAGATAAACATAATACGAAAGTATCACATTTCACATTGGTCATTGTTGCTGAATTCGCAGATTGCAATTATGCAAATTACTGGCAAACATATTTAAGGACGATGGAAAGCCTAATACACTAAAAAGAAACAGCGGTACAAAGGACAGTTAGAGACATAAAATATGAATATTTACATTAAGGACTAGGTTCATAGGCGTAGAAAATAAAACAGTATTTTTATACTATTTATGCCAGAGAGGCTAGCCGCGAGATTAGTGTGAATCCACATTCTCACAACAGTAAGCAGTGATCTCTCTGGTCATTTCGTAGATGAGTGATGGCTAGGACATTCCACCATGGGCCGTTTAACCATCGACTACGTGGAATGAATGACGGTGAATGATACGAGTAAATTAGTGAATGGGAAAGTAGTAGAACCTTCAAATGGTGGTACAATAAGCCGCAGGTTCTGTATCTGTAACGTGTGGAGGGTGGGTTACCCCCACGGCACTTAGGCCTCATTAGGCCCTTTGTGCATCCTCCTAAAATGATAGGCACCTCCTAGCTCGTGAGCCAGCCTACAGATTTAGTGTACAACGTCGCCAAGAGGTGCTTCTCTTATATAGGCCGGTGTTAGCCGATACTCGCCGAACACAAATCTTCTAATAAATGAGATCGTCGAGCAATCTAAAGGATATGCTCGATGGTCTCATCTTCTTGTTCGCACCCTCTGTAGAGTGCGGATTCTGACAGCCCCATGATATGGAGATGCTTCCGTACTTGGTAATGACCAGTCAGAATGCCTGTGACTAGGCGCAGATTCTGTCTAGTCATAGTCAAGTATTTGTTTGCTGCAGTGTTGTCAGGATAATTTAAAGAGCTCTCTGGCAACTCTGCAGTTTCTTGTTTCATCCCATATTTTTTTAAATTTCACAAGGGAATGTTCTTTAATTAGGTCTGTCACTACCGCAGTGCCGCAACGCTACAGGCGGATTAGGGCGATAGCACAGGGGGTCCGAAGGGTGTAAAAATTAAAAAAATACTATTTAGTTTAGTCAATCTTTATGCCTACGAATTACTTTTATCAATTCATAATAAATATGTACAGGTTGAATCAAAACTCAAATACATAATTTTCTCATTTTTTTTTTTTAATTTGACTACCCTGTATTTTATATCACCATTCAAAAGTACCCTAATTATACTTTGATTTGAGTTAGTTTTGGGAGATTTTTGAATTTAAATAAAAAAAAATATATATAAGTCGAAAAATAAATTAATTTTAATTGATCACTGATTGATAAAAAGTATTTATTAAGTAGTAATTAGCATTTTATTGATTATAGACTAAGTTTTTAACAATATCTAATGCAACTTTTACATTCAGTAATGAAAGAAATAAAAGTAACAGACTCCACATGATACCTATTTTATTCCAAGTTAAATGTTATTTTTGCATATTATTTATTATTTTAATGAACATAAAAGCTATGAGTACTAAGATGTCTATTCATACTATTTTTTTTTTTAATTTGGTTTCATCGGCTTTGACTAGTAAGGCCATTAGCCTCGTGTTCTGCGTAGGCTTTGTTATTGTTTTCCAGCGCCACTTTAGGAACAGCACTATTAATTAGAACCCAACAGTGAATGGTCGAGTGGGGAATCCTACCAAGGCATCAGAATTAATTTTAAATAATTAAATTAAATTAAAAAAATCCCGGCCAACGGTGGGATTCGAACCTGGGACCCTTGAATCCACAGGCAGAGACTCTACCACTGAGCCATCCACCCCATATATTCATACTATTATTATTGTTTTTACAAACCATTCATGTTAGATAGTACATACGTTTTATATTCATATTTTTTTGTTTGCAATTTGTGAAATTAAATATATTTTTTGTTGTTTTTGTCTAAACAAGTATTTACATGCTTATCGGCTTTATTTAATTTATACATTTCACTATGGTTTGAATAAAGTTTATTATTTCTATATTATTACATATTATATAATACATCTTAATTTTCGATTTTAGTCCTCAAGTAAATATTCAGCTTTTTTATTATAATTCATAAATAATAGACCACTTATATAGTATAAAAATATTTTATCAACTATTTTATTTTCTACGTCTATGAACAAATAACCTAAAATTGGACGACATTAGAATATGGAGAACCAAATGTTACAATTACCGCCATATCATACAGATTTAAATGCTACTGAATTCATTTAGGCTGATTGTACAAGCTGCAATGAAGGCATTACTAATTTGGAATATCGTTGGAACAAGTTGAGCGAGTAGAAAACTATATTGAAAAATAAAATGTTTCTTGTAGAAAAAACTTGCGAGTGGCAGAGATGGGGTTCTGTAAACAGCGAGTGGGGAAGAAACATTACAAAACTATACCACTGAAGCCTGGGAAAAATGCATATAACACTGATTTGATGATTGGAGAATGATTTAATCGTCAACGTTTGTATATGAACTCTTAATAATTACCTTCAGTGATAATTCCGATCCTGAAGATGATAAAATATGTATTTTAATGTAGATGATTAACCAAGTGCTTTTATCCCACAAAGAACAATAACCTTATTTATTTGTCAAAAAAAAAATTAATCTAAATATCATAATTTCAAGATTATTTTGATCAGCGATTCACGATTTTTTTTTGTTTTTTATGTATTGATGACGCATTGGAAAAGACGCTACCTCAACTGCTGTATGCCGTAAACGGCTTTATTTTTTTTATTAAATCTCATTAGTTACCGTCTGCAATAAAAATTTAACCAATTTTCAACTTTTAGTTATTAGAAAAACATTTCTTTTTTAATAAAAATTGAGTTAAAGAATAGCTACTTAAAGTTCCGACACATATTGAATGATCTCTCTGTACATTCAGTGACAATGATTGTAAATTGTAAATAGAAAACAAAATTTTAAAATTTTGAGTCACATCGCTAAATAATTATTATAAATTTGTATTTTACTTAAAATGCTTATAAATATAAAAAAAAATAGCAATTGGCAATTGATAATATGAAAACTACGTAATTTAGTTTTTTTATTCAAGTTTATAAAAAAAAAAAAAAATGCGTAGAAAGATAATTCTATGTATATATTTTCATATTATTTAGCAGTAAATAGTCTACTTGTAAAAAAAAACATTTTAAGACAATCTATACATACAAATTTCCGATAAACGTTTTCAATTTTTTCGTTCCATTAAAGAAAATTATATTCAAGAGAAAATTACAACTTATTATCCAATTAATTATTTAATAAATAATTACAGGTAGAAAACTTGCCACATCAGACGTACTGAAACCTTCTTGCATTTACAATAGGTCACGTGTGTATAGACGGATAAACAAATCAATATTTAAAAAATATTTTCATTCGATAGTTAAGTCTTTACCTGAATGTTCTAAAGTGATGTGATCGCTCAACAACAGATGTTCATTTTATAACAAAATAATCCAAAAAGGTTCAACAGTTGGTTACAGCATCTCAAGCAGAACTATAATGGATAAGTAATCGATAATCGATTCAATATAGATGAAATTTAAATTTCCCACAAACAAATAAAAATGTCTTTTCATTTTAATTACTAAATTATTCTTCGAAGAAATATAGATTTAAAACAGTATTGCGAACGTTTTATCATAATTTCAAATACATTTTTTAATTATATATTGGGGTTACAATCTTTCTCTAACGATGTTGAAAACGATTTTTTAATTACCGATGTTTGGGGTTAGATGGAAATGGTTTCATCAAGTTACTCGAGTGGCAACATAAAATTATAAAAAACAACAAAAAAAAAAACCGTGGTTGTATCGAATGGAAGCCATATTATTTTTCTGTCATTGCCTGTGGTTTTCTGTATATTTATTATTGTTATACTACATCTAAAATGACAGGTTTCAATTCCGACATTTTTTATTCACTGTTAAAACTTGTGAGATACTTGGAAGTAGTTTGAACTACTTCCGTACCTATTGTTTGTCGATTTCCGTGAAAAACGTAGCTTACCAGTCGTTTGTCTTTCAATGTTTTATCAAAAATGATTCAATTCTTTTGATGTAGAACAAAGAATACAGTTACTTGCAGAAGCTTAAATTTCTCGTAAGTTACATTTTATATAAATTAATTTTCAAAAGAAATTCATTCACTATGATCCTTCCTGGGGACTTATTTTTAGAAATTAACTTTATCTAAACTTTATTATTTAGTATACAAAATAAACAATGAATATGATTGGAAAGAACCTTTATGTATCTAGTTTCCAATCAGATGATACCAACTAAATACAGGGTGTCCCATTAGGAATGAAGATTCTCTGACTAAAAATAAGACAATTAAACGAAATACTCTTGGGTAAAATGTTACTAGTTTCCGAAATAGTGTTAAAGTTGAAAATTAAAAAATTTAAAGTCTGCAAACATTTTTGTTGTCATCAGATACACCTATCAGCAAAAAAAAAACAGTTGAAAAAAACTTTGCCAGTGGCGTACGGCATGGGTAAGTAACAACTTCATCCACTCTAAATTTTACGCCACTGCCCCAAAAATTATTTGACTATTTTTTTTTTAATAAATCATGTACTCTTGTTGGGAGGACCTTATAAAGTGACTGATTTCAGAGATATTGGGGGTATTCTTTATTTCAATTTATTATGAATTCTCTTTATAAGTTCCCAAGAAAATTTTGAACAGTGGCGTAAAATTTAGAAGGGATGAAGGTATTATTTACCCATGCCGTAAGCCACTGGGAAAGTTTATTTAACTGCATCTTTGCCGATAGGTTTATCTTATGACACGAAAATCTTTTGCAGAATTTAGTAAAAAATAATAAAAAAATTATAGCCATTAATAATTTTTGAATTTTCAACATTATTTCGGAAACGAGAAACATTTTACCTAAGCCTGTTTCGTTTAATCGTCTTATTTTTTAATAACATAAACTTCAGTTGTTTTATGACCCATTCTTAATGGGACACCCTGTATATGCATTACAATCTTGGCTTGCGTTTATATAGTCTTTAATAATACATCTATCCTACGTGACTAAATTGATGTCATCAATTAGGCAAAGTAACATTAATAACTTCAGTAGTAACCTTAAACCAATATCACTGACCTATTTGACAGAACTGACATCTAAAAGCCACTAATAGATCGAGATCACGTGGGATACGAGTATTGTTGAAGACTCGTTAATGATAAATTAGATTTGTTTATCTCTCTATTGAGTGTGACAAAGTAAGCCATCGCGTTCACCTGATCTAAAGTAATTGGATTTTTTCCATTGAGGAGAGTTAAAAGAATAATCGTACACAAGACAGCCTAGAGAACTAGAAAAATTTAAAAATTTGCTGGATCAAATAATTAAAGACATTCAATGTAGATAAAGTTACTAAGTTACTGGAAACTAGAAAATTCCAAATAATTTCCACGTCGTGAACCACTTTATATATACGATGTTTTTGTATTAGTTTTGGTAGTTTAAAATGCTATGTATTAAGAAAACAGAATTAATCAAAGTTAAAAAATTGGGCATTAAACAAAAATGAAAAATATTATTCCTACACCTATATTTGGTGAAACATTTAACCCTCTGTAGATTACTGCATTGTTAATTTTTCAAAAATAATGAAGTTAAAACTGATGTTAAGAAATATTGTTTATAGCAGGATTTCAAAATTAATACGTTCATGTTTGTTAAAAAAAACTAATACATTTTTAAAATGATTAATAGCAGAAAAACAAATTCTCAATGGAATTAAGGTCGGGAAACCAAGTAGGCCAATCTAATAATCTCACATCTCAGCTTCCAAGCCATTTTTGGCGACTTTGCTAGTACGCGGTGGGGCATTATCCTGCATAAATAAAAAACCTCTCCAAAGTCGTATTAAGGATGTAGAACCAAATCTACATACCTCTCAGCAGTTAAAAGTTTGTAACATGATCCAGCCCTAAAACTTCACTGTACTCCCTTTATATATCGAAACCGGTCGGGCAGCTTGAAGCCTGGCTTGTCTTCCACAGAATCCACGGCCTTTTAAAACACGATTCGTCGGTCATCATATCTTGGATCAATCTTGGTTTCGTCCAAAAATAAGATATTTTCTCATTCTTCTACCGTCCAGTTTTGGTGCTCCAAATACCAAATTAATCGATGGTTTTTGTTTTGTCTGGATAACTGTGACATTCTTAATAGTCTCCTTCTAAACAATTATCTGGTACGAAGTCGTTTCCTAATCATTTCCACCGATATACTAAATCCCGTAGCTTGTAGAAGTTGTCTTTGAAGTTCTGGATGTGTTACAGTTAGATTTCTTCTAGCTATTTGAGCTAACAATCGGCCTTGTTTCTCGGTAGTAACTCTTCGGCGACTTCCTCCATGCCTGTTTTTTAGATTTTCTAATTTTAAGAATCTTGTAAAATACCCATGGCGGGTTTGTTTGGGGTTTCTTTATAATTTGATGCAAATCGTCCGAGATCCAGTGGAATTAATTATCCGTCGTGTACAACTTTTAAACTATCCACTGGTCAACTAGTCCTCCGAACAATCATGGTATTATCTTTTTACGAATCAAAGAATTTTTGTCAGTAAAAACAATATTCTTTTATATGCAAGTAACTTTTTTTTAATGAAAAGATATTTCTGTAGAATACTGGGCGATTCATATTAGTTTGGTTGTCGATCTTTATACCCACTTAGATTAATAGACAGACATAAGAGGATATATAAAATTAATAATGCAGTAACTAAATTATTTCGACTAACTAAAAAACGAACATAAACATTGACGACAAAGGGAGATAAAAACCCAAAATGTTCAAACTACAGGGTTACACATAATAATGAACAAACAGCCACCAGAAACAGACTGACATGTCAGAAATTTTGACCACAATATTTTAAAAATTGAAATTCACGCAGTCCGTCCCTGTGGCACACATAAATCCAATAAAATATAAAGGTGAAATAATGCCCAGTCGGCCCAATTTAAAAACACTTGATTAACACATTGTCAACACATAACAGAAACATAATATGGCTTGAAGGTAGTGCTGTGCAATCACAACCACACTGAAGAAACATTTTAAGAAAATGACAAAAAAAAATGTACTGGATGTCAAAATGACACTTACCGGACTCGCAGGCGTTCTTTGCCAACTTGGACTGCTAAGTTCTCCGTATTCTTCGTGCATTGAATTTATACTAGCTGCTCCTGGTGACGGGGCAGTACTTTGAGGTGTTGTTGGATGACTATAGATACCCATGTCGTTTTTTCTTGATGTTTTGGGCGTCGTACATTGAGGATCTTCTCCTGATGCTGCAACAAATCATCAAATGATTCAACGAATGGAAAAGGAGTGCAATAAGAGTGGGTATAATACGTCACTTTCCAGAGGCGTAGAGATTTTAGGAAATAGTAATTTCAGTGGCGGTTCGTTCTAAGGAGCCAAAAGGCCGTGGCACTAGTGTAAAATTTGTCGACAAATATTCTTTTTTTTATTTTAGTTCAATAATTAATACAATTGACAGGTCAACTGGCTAAGCGACGCACATATAAATTACACAAGTCTGCAACCAAAAAACTGCATAGGATTTTTTGACTGTTATGTTTCTCACTAAAAATCTAGAAAAATAAAAAAAAATTCATCACCTCAGGTTTTCTTGCAAAACTCATATTGACACTTCTTTTACTGTTTTTCCGAAAATGTAGAAGCTTATAGTAAAGAGCAGGGTGAAAGATTTCACGTGATTTCGAGAGACGATACCAAGGAAGATGGAACATTAACATGCTAATTGATTACTGAATGCTCAGGAGGCAAAGAGAAGAAGAAAGCGAACGCGTGTTCGAAGGACCATCAAAGAGATGAAAAAATGCTTTTTCAGTCAGAAAGAGTAAACATGTAGTGTAAAATATGTCATGAAGGGATAGTTTTTCTTCCTTTTTTCAATTATAAGAAAAATTAAGCATAGTTAATTTTAATAAAATATTGATTTTGTCATCGCTGATGTTCTTTTTAACGTAAACTCCCCATATTTTGCAAAAAAAACTGTACATCATTTAACTTTTTGGATTTAGCACCCTATATAATATAAAATTTACCAAAACTATCCCTGGTAGAGGAGAAAACATTTTTTGAAAACCTGTGTTATTTATCATTATGTAATTTGATCCCGACGAAAAAATTCGCGTAGTGTTATTTCAAGAGACAACAAATAATTCAGGCGACTGACAACTCACTGGACTATATTCCATGCGAGGTACATCTCAAACAGCCCGGCCGCTAGCATAGCAATATATATTGAAAACGGTTACATCACACCTACAGAAAGTACGTGTTTAATACATTTTTAAACAGAGCCAGCTAATCGTGTGGCTCGGATTTCAGCTGGTTGCGTGTTGGCGTTGTGCGTAAATGAATCGGCGGTCGGTTTAAATAAGTTAAATGTTTCATTAGGTTCTGTATAATGTAAATATAGTTACTGTTTACAAATCATCCGAGGCAAAATTAATAAAATAAGCAATCTGTTAATGAAACCTTTTTCTACACACTCGCATGAGGACAAAATTCAAATCAAAGAATTTGGAAGACCACTTCCCGATTTGGAAATCACAATCCACCTCTAGTTCATCAAACTTCAAGAGTTGTATAAGGAAGGATAGTCGGAATATGTATATAAAAAATAACTGGTTTTGCGGATGTGATAAAAAAATGCATGTTTTTTTAGGCTGCGATTCTACATGGACAACGCGTTACATATTTATGAGAAAATTAAAACAAATGAAAACATCATGGTACATATAAATAATAATTTTGAGTTTTTCTTTGCTCAGAAAATCAAATATGTCTCAATAAAGTTCGGCTCATAGACAAAATATTATTAACCAGGAATGAGAAATTTTTGTTATTTATTATTTTGTAAAAATGGTGAATACGCGTGTTACCTTTTACATGATGATGGTGGGGAAGGCTTTCCGAATTTTCATCACCTGTAAGTCAAATGGTACCATCAACCATCTTTAAGTCGCTCCGGAGTGCCACGGAAAATAATAATTTCCGTCCCTTCACAACACAAGCTCAGTAGGCTTCAGGGATTGAAATTCACTCGGGGTAAATTAGGGAGAGTATTATTATAATACACCTGGCACCACCTGTGTGCTAAGGCACCAGCCGCCACTGCTTATTATACCGAATAAACAACATTGTTTAGCGAACATACTCTACCCCTATTATATTTTGCTTCAATAAAAAAAAATTGCTTTAGTTAAGCATCAACTTTTGACAACAAAACAATTTATTTACTTTTTGTTTTAAATGTCATCATTAATGAACTAAAATATAAAATAAAACAAAAATAACCCTCCACGATCGAGTAATTTCTCAGGAGAGCTGTTCTGCAAAGAAAACGTAGTTCTTCGTCAATTTAAAAATATTCAGGGCGACCGAACTTTAAACGATAAAACTTCAAAGCTTTTAGTGTATTAAAATACGTAAAACAGATACGGTGCAAAAGAACCTTTTAATTAAATGCAGTAAAATGTTTATGCAAAATTCACTGTATATTCAGCTTCTGTAAAATCCCTAAAAGGACATGTCATTACTTAATATGAATTTTCAAAATTGTTGGCATATATGTCAATTTAAATTGCATAAAATTGACGATTTTGAATTAAAATTATTTAAAAGCGACTATCAGAAAACGCATATTTATTGTGTGAAAACTCCAAAATGTAGAATGTTTTTTCAAAGAAATTTGGGGAACCATCCGGTAAAATTATTGAGAATAATATGAAGAAATCTAAAGAGTATGGGTAAATAGAAGTTAACAGACATGTTTATAATAATTGTGGTGTCCCATCAAAAGAAAACATTGCTGCAGTATGGACTAGTGTTGTTAAAAACCAGAAAATGTCAGTTTGTAAACATTCACAGCAAGTCAACATTAAAAGATCGAGTGTGATAACATATTAAAGTCAGATCTTCATGAGTTATAGTTGACTCGAGAATTAGGACTGAACGATCACGTGTTACGTCGTACATTTATTAATCGAGGCTAATCTTTAACGAGCTCATTTCAAAATTTGTGGATACGTAAACAAGCAGAATTACAGAATATTGGAGGAAAATACAAGATAAATACTCGAGAAAAGACTGTATCCAAAAAAGTGACTGTGTCATGTAGTTTTTAGACGGGAGGCATGATTATTCCTTATTTTTTCTATAATGAAGCTGGTGATGCGGTTACTGTTAATAGAGTCGTTACAGTACAATGATAACAGATTGTTTCTGTAATGAATTGGAAGGTATGAAGGTTTCAACAGGACATTACCATACCACGGATAAAACACTGAATCTTCTGAGAATTGGCGATCGAATAATTACTTGAAGAGCTGACTATAATCGACCTCTACACCACTGGATTATTTTCTGTGGACCTTTTTGAAGGAAATAGTCTATAGTTTATGCTAACAATCCTCAAACAGCTTCGATGTAACATTACTCAAGCAATTAGAATATTATCATGCCAAAGAAGCGGAGGGTGTCACTTGTTGGAAATCATTTTTCAATATTAACCGTATCATTTGTACTTCAAAATAAAATAATAAAATTGTTTGTACAAGTTGGAGAGGTACCCGCTAGTGTTACTTTCCTGAACTCTCACCGACTGAGAGGATCACAAAATATTTGGCGCCCAATGTGAAGCCTAACCTAATATACCACCGTGGTGTTCTGCTCTACCAAAATCAAGTACTGAACTAATAAAATCTAGATTCAAAATATTTAAAACTTACCAGCAGAAGCATTCGATAACGTAGATTGCTGCGAACCTTCGTCAATAGGTGTACCATCAGGTCCCGTAGTAACCACAGACGTAACTGAGCCACCAGTAGCCGTGGTCACGTGCGTATTGAGCCCACCCTGCGCCGTCGTAGTAATACCATTGTCCATCATATCAGAAACCATCTGCGTATGAGAATTAGGCGTCGAACTTGGAGGCGGCATGGGTCCGTCGTGCGGATGGTTGTTAGGAAGGAGCGGACTGCTAGCGGGAGGCATGTTAGGCGGCCCCATCGAAGGAGGTGGTCCCATGCCGGAATGGTGATGGCCGGTCGGCGGACCCATGTGGTAATTTTGCGGCGGACTAGGGCTGGGCGGCGTGGAGCCTGGAACGTTTTGAAAACCCATTTTGTGTTGCAGATGGTGTTTGAGGTAGTGAGGTGGGCGCGTCGTTGGGCCGGGCGATTGAGACCCGGGCCCGGGTGCCTGCGCGGGCGAATTCGGACCGTTGCCCTTTGAGCTTGTCGACATCGAAGATTGCCATGACTGTTGGTAGGGTGGAAACTGCGAGTTCTGCATGTGGTTCGGAGCCGACCGACCTGGAAATTGCTGAGGGGGCATGTTGTTTGGCGGCGGGGGCTGCGACGTTGGAGGGCCGTAGCCTTGTCCTGGATACTGGATGTTACTGGGAGGCCGTGGTGGATAGCCGGTTTGAGGATACTGATTTGGTTGATACAGAGGCATTTGTTGGTTGCCCGATCCCGATACTACCATGCTCGGGTGGCTTTTATAACCGTGGGCTGGGTGCGGAGACGAATGGGGTGTTGTATAGCTGCCCTGAGTTACCATTGGTATACGACTAGGTCCGTTGCCGTCAGACTGTCCGCTTGAAGGCCTTGGTGGCATAGGAATGTTTTGGCCTGCAATGAAAACACAACAATAAGTACTTAATGCGTATGTGGAATTTATACATTGCAATTTAATATTTTACTTTTTCTTTCGGATGAATGGATGGATGGTATCTGACATGCAAGTCTACTTATTTAGTACAGAAAGTTTAAAATAATAACATCAAAAATTAGTACACCTGATTGAATGGAAGTGGGAGGGTAAGTTTATTTAAATCTTTATAATACGGTGGTATGTTTAGCATTTTTTTACCTTCTAAGAAAAAATAATTATTAATATCTGCTACAGGGTTTTAATTGCAGTATGGACAAAAGTGAGAATCTAAAATTCCAATTTTATATAAATGGCGCAGGGAATCGACCGCACTTAAGTTTTAATCGAGTAATTATGGATGACTAATATTTATTATATTTCCATGAATTGATGTGTGGAATATTGTTAGTGAGATTTGGTTGTACACTGAAATAGTGACTTTTTGATTCCTCCGCACGCTTCAGTGTATTTAATTTCCTATTTGTTTCAGGCATTTTTTTATAAATTTTAAACATCTATAAAAATACAAACTCAGATTTTATTTATTGTTGTTTTAAAATTTGTACTACTTAAGTTCATCAGAAATTCAAGGTACCTGATGTTTACTTTACTATTATTAGTACCAATACTAAGTTTGTCACAAACAAAATCAGGTTTAGTTGAATTTTCCCTTAAACTGAGTCATACATGTAGGGTGTTAGCAAATTCCTTACCAATATTTGGCATAATTGTTTGAAATTGTCCAAATTTTTAATGTTTGAAAATAAATCTAACAACGAATGAATCATGAAGTTCAAGCTATCGTATTTCTCTACCTAAGTTCAAAAACGAAATAACTTAAGGCTTGTCAAAAATGATATATCTAAAAAATTATTAAAAATATACAATAAAGGCCGTTCAAAACAGAAATAAACTAAATGTTTCAAATATCCGTTATATTAAAATGTTTCTTTTTGAACTGAAGTAGCGATTTGTTGTATTTACTCATATTCACAAAAAAAAATTTTAAGTTGTGAAATTTATGCCACTTATTTTTTTTTACTTTTGAAAAAAATGGTATTTTAGGTTTTGTTTTCTCTCAAACTTCTAAACAGGTCTATAAAAGAGGTTTGGTAACACTCTGTGTAACTGTGGGTCCTAACTCCTGCTTAGATAATGATGAATAAAGTAATCACCGTGTCCACTAAATCATTATAACCGCCTTTGAACTGTATTGTTTAGTTTTAAGACTCGCATTATGGTATTTATTTTATGAAAATAGAATGAGATCCATATAAAGAATAAACGGTTACTCCATATAAACCTGTCTAAAATAGTCTAATTAAGTCGGTAGGAATAAGGTTTTTGAAAACAAAAAAAATAATAATAATTTTGCCCATAATAAGAGTACTTGTACATGTTTTCATACTATAACTCAGGTTTTGAAATAGTTTTGATCTTTATCGGTAAATTATAAGTGTAACAAACAAAAATATCGCAATACAAATTTGTTGATAACTTTTTAGAGCTATTCTGAAAACTACTAATCGACGTCCATCATCTGTATCTGTAACGTGTGGAGGATGTGTTACCCTCCGTGGCACTTAGAGCTCATTAGGCCCATTGTGCATCCTAAATTGATAGGCACCTCCTAGCTCGTGCCGACGTCCATCATATTAATTTAAGGAAAAATAATGCTATAGCAATCTATCTCACAATAAGCAAACGTTTCAAAAATTATTTACCAAATTGAATTGAACAGTCATACTTTTAAATATTACATTGGTGGAGAAGAGTTGTTTTCAACAAAACTAAGGCCCATATTTATAAACCGATCTTAAGTGAGTAGGACTCAGCTGAGATCGTTTTTAAACGAAAATCGAAGTTCGGTTGTAACTTCTCTAGAATTTCATGTGATTCCAGTGTTGTACTAGAATTTAGAGTTGGGCTGTAGCAAATCCGTAACTATTAAGTAAATTTAAGGATTTGTTACTACTAGCGATATAACCGAACTTCGATTTTCGTTCAAGAACTAACTCAACTGAGTTCAACTCAGCTGAGATTGGTTCATAAAACGGGTCTAAGTTTGCAAAATTCGGTTAAGCAGAACCGGACTTGCAAGCGTTTGTTAAAATCATGATTCCCATCGTCCCCCCACCTCTTGTATGACAAGATGGAAGCAAATTATTCTAGGCAAAATATGCGAGATTTAATTTTTTTTATAAAATGAGCATTTTACCACCTGTATTCAGTTACGCCATCTAGTGGTCGTTCTACGATTCTCTAAATAATTTTCAGGTTTCTCTTGTGGCAACTGTTATTATGCAATTGGACCACCCAGTACAGTTTCAGCTTAATTCAGATTAGTTTTCCAGCATAATAGAATATTTAAATCTGTTTAGCCATGCAAGCAGATAAAATGCCATAATTAATTAGAGATGTCTAAATACATGTTTAAATTCATAATACAAACAATCAATTAATGATATTTGATATGGCAGCCGTAAATAAACCACGTAGAATAAAAATTAAATAGGGATTTATATTAAATTGGATTGAACAGTTGCAGCGACGAATTCTGTTTAATTATTACCGATTTTTCAGGTCACACTACTAATTATGATATAATTCCTTTTTGGACAGCGCACATATTCATTTATCATTCAATTAATTATCAATTTGAATTGATAACTCCGGAAATAAATTATTTCGCGAAATTTTGCTTTTTCCTAAACGATATTTAATTGCTTGATGAATAAACCATTTTGTCAGTGACTGTTTTTTTTTTTAAACGAATGTAACATACAAGAATAAATATACTAACCAGAAGGATATCTCCGATCACGTGATTGCCGAGGGCTTTTAGCCTTCGTCTCTAAGAGCGCCCGCACACTAGCGGCCAGGTCGCGCGGCTGTGTCGCCAAGGAAATCAGTTGACCGCGACCAACAAAATACATTGATACGGAATCATCTATTATTTAAGAAGTATGAATATTTTTGTTTATATATAAAACTCAGTCCTTATTAAAATTTTTTAATAAAAAATAACCCACATAGCAATAAAAAAATTAATTGGTTGACAAAATAACTACAAATGTATTTATTTTTTCTAAAACGAAATAAGATTTAAACTTTTAATGGCCAAAATGCAAAAACAAAAAGAAAACTGGTAATTTTAATAATCCGTGTTGCCACCTCTAACCCTTACGTAAGCTTCTATTCGCCTTGTCATGCTTCTTATTAAATTGTCAACATTGTCTTGGGGTATGTTTTCCCATTCTGCTAATGCTGCATCAATAAACTGTGCGACATTTCCTGCATTGTTTTGACGAGCTCTAACCCTTCTTTTGAGCTTGTGGGGCCAACAAGTGTTCGATAGGATTTAGGTCTGGTGAACAAGCAGGCCAGTCTAAAACTGTGACACCTTCCGTTTTAGGACATTTTCTAGCCATTCTGCTGGTTTGGAGAGGTGTATGAAGATCAAATTATCCCCAATAGCAACTCTTCAAAGCCTAACGATTGGTTCTAGCACTAAATCAACATACCTCCGACCGGTTAAATTTTGTTGAAATGGTACCAATGGAGTATTTGTTCCCAGCATAATACCTTCCCAGAACATTACAGTCCCTCCTTGATATCTTGGGACAGATCTGGCAGCCTGGAGTCTCGTTCGTCTTCTGGAGCTTTTAGAACCCGAATTCGATGGTCATCTGATCTTAGGCCAATTCTGGTCTCATCCGAAAAAAGAACATTTCTCCAATTCTCAATTGTCCAGTTTTGGTGTTGAAGGACCAATCTAGCCGGTCAATTTTATTAGATATTAGATAACTTGCCCGTAACTCTCTCCTACTGTACAACCCTCGAGAGCGAAGTCTTTTTCTAATGGTTTCAACTGAATCGTTCAAACCTGTAGCTTCTAGAAGCTGTCGTTGCAGCTCTGGATGAGAAACACTGAGATTTCTTATAGCAATTTGGCACACAAAACGGTCCTGTTGTTCAGTTGTGACTCTTTGACGACTTTGTCTGGGCCTGTTCTTGAGAGTTCCTAGTTCCAAGTACCTTGCATAAGTTTTCGATACCCTGAGTAACGTCTACGTCTCTTTGGGGTATTCCTTCTTTATTTAGAGCAATAATTTTTCTCTTGTGCACATTTTTTTGTTTTTTTTTTTGTACCGAAATAAAATTACCGAAGAATCGTGATTTTACTATTGAACACCAAATTCGCAAGATAATAAATCGCAGCAGTCGTTTCTTCTTTATTATCATGTTTGTTTTGAACAAAAAGCTTTATCTTAAAGTTTGATACCAAATTTTTTCCTTACAAAAAGTTTATTCAGAAATACAGAGTGATTCCATATAAGTATGGTTGTGTCTAGTTAGTGCAGCTGTAAAATTTGACATTTTAACCAATCACATCGCAATTTACGTAATCGTTACAACCAATCAGAACCAAATAAATAGACTATTTTTACTGACAATCTCCTATCGACTATCTAGTCCCTCATCAGACTGGAAAAAGTAGCATTTCATGTTTTTTACTTGCTGTTTGTAGTTTGGCACAGAGGAAGAGAGGGCGAACAACATGTACTATGGCCCGGTAGTGGGAGCTGTCGTGTAAAACCTGTCAAATTCAAAGTTACTTATCAATAGATTTTTTTGTTTTTGACTACAAAACAAAAAAGTATGTTCACCTAAACGAATATATTTCATATCCATTCTAGGTAGTGAGAACATTGCAAAAAAAATAAATCCACCAATCACAGTTCATATTTTGGACACCCAACTACTATTATTTTTAAAATTTTAAATAAGTGACAATCCTGTTAGTTATTGGGATTAAATATACATTAAAATGAGTTATTTTTGTGTAGAATCGATAAATAATAGCATTGTTACTTTTATTTGGTCCACATTTAAAAAAAAAAAAAATTAATTTTAATCAAACTATATGAAATTATTTTAATTAATTAGTTGAGCCACCAGGGTGTCGCAAGGAAGTAGGATCTGTACGGTGTGTCGACAATGTACGCGACTGCCATGTATGAGTTCAGAATTAGATTCAGATGATTTAGAAGACCAAATAATTACGACATTAGTTCATAAAAAGCTTCCGAAAAGCAATTATTTAAAGAAATTAAAAACCCACGGGAATTGAGTTAGAAAATTGTGTTAAATGCTGTAGTTGGTGGGACGGTGGTGTAGCGGTCTAACGCGCTTATATTCATTTATAGGCAAGTTTATGAGTCAGAGACTGCTGGGCTTCGAATACCAAACCAGATCATGTGGATTTTTAATTAAATTGCATGGTTCGGTTTAGGATTTGATGTGTGCCGTATTAATACAAATTCAATTTCTGTTGATATGACATGCAGATTATAAAATCGCCATGCATTACCGTCTCGATGATGGTGGGTGAGGTTTTCCGGGTTTTCCTCACCTGTAAGTCAAATGGCTCCATCAATTATCTTTAAGTCGCCCCGGAGCGCCACGGCAAATAATAATAATATCCGTCCCTTTCCCCGCACAAGCTCAGCTTTTGGGGTTAAAATTAACTCGTAAGGGGGTGAATTAGGGAGGTAGAGAGTATTATTAATATGAGTACAATAATATAGGTTTATTTTTTACTCACATGTACATTTTCTGCACAATACACAGAATTGATATGTGACCTATATGAACGGATATAATTTCATATCCATTTTAGAATACAATTGAAATCAACCAATCACAGTTCATATTTAGTAGCAATTTGTTTTGTTAATCAGTGAAGAATCGACTAAATAATGGTAATCCACAAGGTATTCGTCTATACGAGTATTAAAATGGAAATTGTAAATCAATGTTAAGCAAAATTACTGCATGATTCATTGGCGCAGAAAGTTGAACTGATGAGTTCCCATGTGAAAGGTCCTGGTTTCAAATCCAAGCTGAAGGCAAATTTTACACATTTTTTTAAAGTTTATTTTATTAATTATACTTCATTTAACAGCAAGAGAAACATTTTCAGAAATGTTTTGCGATAAAAACTAATTTAATATTCTTTTATCAAATATATTACCAAATATTGTGTTCTTTAATTCAGCTTTGTCAATGGTTACTGGTTTTGATTTGAGGTTAATTATCGCAAAAAATTTGTTGGAATTTGCTTTCTCTTAATATTCAAATACGGTATAGTCAAAGTCATGAATTCAAATTTTGTGTTATATTAAAATATTTATTTTATCTTAATAATCTATGAATGAAAGTTTGTAGATTTTAATGGATCGTAGAAAAAATATACTGTATAACTTGAGCGGATTATCCATATCGCACTTAAAACTCGTCTTCGTGCGTTATCTCCACCATATCCATGAACAAACTATTTAACTCTTATAATTCACAGTGCATATACTGTACAGAGTATATATAGGGTGTTGTTTTAAGGATGGACGAATTTATTCATTTTTTTTTTTTGTAAAGCCGGATCTGGATTTTTTTCTTGCTTATACCTTAGTAAATTCTATAAGTTATGGAGAATAAATGAACAAAATTTTAAAAACAATAATATACAACTTATGAGTCAAGAAAGAAATCGCCAAAATTGTTAAAATATCTCGGTTATAAAGAGTGGAAGACCAAATAAGTATGGGTTATTTGGAAGCACCTCAGTGGTCTACATCCATAGTTAACGTGTATCCCTTTACCAATTAAACACCCTGTAGAATTGGGAGCGAGAGTTTATTAATTTTCTCTCCGCTAACAAGACTATAGAGATCTTTTTGGATAACTCAAATCGAGTTGACTCAAAGCTGGTTAGGTGCCCGGAACAAAGTTATTTTGATCTGGGTTACGGGACACAGCGGTCTCACTAAAAGAGAAATCGAATCTGAGTTCATGGGACCAGAATCATTCCTGAGCAACGAATTCGAGAGATATCCCAGGGATAACTCAGTCGAAGGCTTTTATAACCAACCCTTCCATGAACCCATCTGCTCGGATCCGAGAAAGAATTAGGAAAGATCTACGCATTTTAACGGGACTGATGACAGGACAATGTCGTCAGGGTAACCACATGAAGAAGATAGGTCTGAAACAAACATCGGACTGTCAATTCTGCAGCGTGGAAGACGAATCTGCAGAGCACATTTTATGTGCCTTCTCCGCTTTGGAAAAAACAAGGTTCTGCAGATCTTCGAATTTACCTGACTGAAGCCTACGGACTTTAAACAGATATCACACAATTCAACAATGGCCTTCATCAAAAGTTGTAACTATAAGTTAGACATGAGCCATAACAGATCCATCTGGGCCACAGTGGAAGGCGATAAGATCATCTCACTCATTCTTAACCTAACAGAGTAAAATTATTTTAAGCCTTAAATGTATCAACAAAAACGTTAAAACTGTAAAAGATGGTTGTTATTTTGAAAAGTAGGTAAATATTTTTATATCATATCTACTTAATAATATTTGTAATATATGAACCTTGAAAATAAATAAATACCCATCTAATACTTGTTTTTTTTACTGATATTTTTTTTCGGTACGCCTATGGAGTACAAGCAATAAATAAAAAAAGGTCACAGCCTGTCGGCATTAATCACAAAGCGATTGAATGAGATATTTATTTATTGTTGTGTCATTAGGTAATAATTTTCTCGATACTGCAAAAACCAAGACCATCAAATTGTTTTTACCATTGGTCTAAACATAAGGTGAAATGATAAATCAATATAATATAAAGATATAAACAATTTTGAATGCAATAAATCAGGCGCGGACTTATTTTGGATAATATCATTTAAAAAGATTAAGTTTAGGTTAATTTTGACGTTTTGAAAAAATACTCTTAACACTATGTAATAGGAAAAACAAATTATGGTAGATTTTTACAAAAATAATCTTTGCCTAAATAAAATTATTTTTGTGAAAATCGATCAGTTTGTTTTTCCTAGATATGAGCCAAAAGGGCTTACAATAATTTGTGCTGATTACATTAGAAAATGTTTCTTTAATCATTACATTCCAAAATACACGAGGAAGTGAAAAGTTTGACAACCATTGACATTTTACAAAGACATTGACATGGTGTAAAAATCAAAATCGTTAAAGACCTGTCAAAAGGCTGCATTTTTTTTGCATTTAAATTTAAAAATTACCTAAAACTATTAACGTACAGGTAATGCTCGACTCAAATGAATATATAATTAGTGTAATTTTGAGAGGCGATATAAAATACAGGACTGTCAATTTAAAAAAATTGAAAATGGTGTATTTGAATTTTGACCCATCCTATATAGATTTGTCACGAATTAAAAAAGTAGTGCATCGGCATAAATGTTAACTAACATGAAAAAACTTTTACCGCAAAAAAATTGGTTTTTAATTTTGCAGAATTATGAAATCAACGATTTTCCTATAAAACTGGGTATATCGTGTAAAATACCCTGTATAATCCCATACTATTGTTACCCTGTACCCTGTGGCTGTTATAAGAAATGTATGAATAAAAAAAGAAGTGCAATATCATACAATACTCTATCAGGTGCGAAATGGTTTTCCACTCATTGGAAGAGACAAAACGGCTTTTTCAAATGGCAGCGGATTATACCAATTCCAGATTCTCCGGTTTGGTCTCTGTAATACACCAGCTACCTTTCTGGAGAGCCTTTCGAACGAATTGCCATATATATCCTCGGACCACTACCCTTAACAGAGAGGGAAAGCAAATACTTTATGGTTATTTTTCAAAGTGGTTCGAAATAGCGCCTATTCCTAATCAGGAAGCGACGAAAGTAGCAGAAGCATTCATGAAGCATAGCGAGGCATGGAGTCCATCTGGAATTGCATTCTGACAAAGGATTAAATTTGTATACCGAATTATGGCAAGAATTGATGAAACTGTTAGGCATCAAGAAAACACACACTAAGCTTCTCCACCCATAATGGTAGAAAAACACCATAAAACCATATGCAAGTATATTCAAATGTTCGTCTCTGAAAACCCTGAAAAGGACTGAGACACTTTAATTCCTCTATTTCTGCTAGCTTACCGAAGTTCTGAATATGAATCAACGTTTGAAAACAGCGATAAAGCGAAAGCTAGAATTGACATGCATGACTAAGATCACATTTTGAGAGAGGCGACCCTGTATGGCTGTACAATCCCAAGCGCCGAAAAGGACTTTGTCAGAAATTGCAACGGAAATGCGAAGGCCCCTACACCGTCCTCAAGAAAATCAACAACCTGATCTATAGCATTCACTTGTCAGCATAAAGTAAACCCAAGGTGGTTCACATTGAAAAGTTTGCGCCATACCGTGGTCCAGATCCTCCCCGTTGGCTCCAGTGGTCCCAGTAATCAAGCCATTCGGGAAGAATAATTGGAGAGGAGAAAGCAATGTTAGTTACCCTGCAGTAGCCTGCGGCAGTTATAGGAAACGTACGGATAAAAGAAGAAGAGCAATGTCACCCATCACCCAACAGTGTCATAAGTAAAAGTACGAATAAAAGAAAAAGAAAGAACAGTAAATGTCTGGAAATGTCATTCCGTATCAAGAAACACCTGGAAGGTTCGAGAAGTTGATGATCTTGACGTCACAGTTCAGTTTTATGAGAGACGTTGTACGATGTTGGTCATAGTTGTAAAGTATAAATTGTTAATGAATTAATTTTACCAAAAACCAGCGTAACACTATTTATTGTCATAATGGGAAAAGCGAGGGTAATTCAAAGTTAAAATAAAATACAGGTGATTTAAAAAACAAATTTGTTCCGTCTTACACCGTCGTTTAGACGGTTTAGACTATTTTTCAGAGTGCTGTATTTTTGACAATTGCAAAATTATATAGTTTAATGGTGTATGTGACTTAGATCTAGGCAGTAAAATATGGTACTGACCTACTGCTGGTGACATGGACCTCGAACCTGTAGAACCAGTAGGTGACGGGGTTGGTCGCATACCCTGTGAATTTGGAGTTCCTGGTGCAGGACCACCAGAACTGTCATTGCTGTTACCCCCACTCAAATCCTGAAACAAAAATTATATATTTAGAACATACTTAGGAAAAAAACAGTATTAGTAAATATAGTTATTGTGTGGTGCCGCAGGGAGGTGTATTTTACCCCGTTCTTTAATTATTGTATATAAGTTATATTTTAAAATAGTTGGCGTTCTGATTTTGCGATATTAGCTGAGCTTCACAAGAATAATAATAATAAATTGCATTTGTTGCCCAACCGTACAAAATCATTTACAGAGTAAATAATAAACATTTAAATAAAAAAATGTCTTAGTCCTAAATTCAAAGTTACCAACGGGTAAATATAGATGATAATAATAAGTAACAAAAGAAACAATTTTTTTATTGCACAACATATTGGCATCCAATTACCGGATAAGAAACATAAATAATACGTTATATAAATATATAGATACAATAAAATTACATAAATACACTGTTACATTTAGATATGTCCAAGCTTTGACGTATACAACCTTTATGCTGTCAACGCGCGGCCGATTTTTGGAGATTTATCCTAGGGATATGTAAATAAATAGTATATTATATTACATTACGAGTGTGGAAAGTGATATTTTTCATAAGAGTGGGAAATATTGTCGCACGAGGCACAAGCCGAGTGCGACTATCACACGAGTGTGAAAAATCACTTTTCACACAAGTGATGTACGATTTTTCCTACGACCACAAAATAATTTCATCAAAAAATGTAAAACCACATTATTATAATAATTAAAATGTATTTAAAAAAATAATCAACAATAATCGTATTTATTCAATTTTCATATTTTCTAAACAAAAAAAAAAATTAAAAAAATAAAAAAAAAATAAAAAAATTTTGGCCCCACCAGGATTTGAACGCGGTCGCTCGCCAGGTCTCAAATGGCAAAGTTGATAAGTTTGACGCTCTAACCACCCAAGCTAATAGGCCATGCGTCAATTTAATGATCTAATCGGTTATGTGTTTAACCAGAATAAAGAGCAAACATATTATTAGTTATTTCAAAATTATTTTAATAATAATTGTTAAAGATAAATATCTAGGATCTAATTTACAACAATTTCAATAATTTAACAATCATATCGATTTTAGTATTAATATGGACATTACAAAGATCAAAATAGAAATGATGCATTTGAAATTTCATGACAGCTGCTGCGGAAAGTAGCATATTTGTACACGGATGGAAAGTAAATTCTTATTCATACGCGTGTGATATAGGGCACTTTCCTAAGTGGTCGTAGGAAAACATATTTATGTGTATTTCTTGCACTAGCACGTGGATATAACAAACAACACAGAGGAAGAGTAGGCATAAACAAATTTAATTACTTTTCATAAATTTAATGCAGTATTTTTTTTTATTCACATATACTTCAGCAAAAAATATCATAGACGTTACATATTGTGTTGGCATTACTGCACATAGTGTATAGCATTATATTAGTTTGAGGTTTTTTTACATTGAAAGAGATTGTTTTTCCTATTTGTTACCGTAGGTAAAAGAATATTAATTTTAGATAATAAAATGGAGCAATTTACTTTACCATTTAATAATTTGTGTAAAAATTAAACATGTCTGACTTTTTTGCTTTTCTAATGACAAACTAAAACCTATTAAGCAAGTTAATATAGTCACTACCTGCTCTTGTTCTTTATAGGATATCCGATTTAAAACATAAATAATCAAAATGCACAATTAGGCATTTTTTTCCCATCATCAAACAGATAAATCCTGAATGATTGAAAGAAAATTATTCGCCACAATTTATTAGAAATATTAAATTCCATGAACATCTGGAAGTCGTCGAAACAGGTGAATGTCGAGGACGTCCTGCACCTGTCCTTAATAGGACCAAATTCCTTGAACATTGCCGAGTTACACATGTAGCAAAAGTGCCCACATTAATTTTATTAAATCTATATCAATTTTTGATTTAATAAATCCTAGAGAATGTATAAATTTACATATATTTTTCTATTTATAGGTATTCAGAATATCATTGGTAATTAGACTCGGGTCGTAATGGTATTTACTAGTTTTAATGCTTAAATTTAAATTGTTAAATAAACATAATGCTACATAGCTACAGGTGGAATTATACTTTCTTTGTAGACTTCACAACTGCGGTTTTAAAATAACTATGATCGAATCGATGTGGCAAAATATAATCTAAAAATAATTTACTTTTACTTTTCCAATTTGACACTTCAACTCATACGAATTAAATTATTACGCTGAGAGCCGAGCTAAGCTCATTTTTCCTGGTTGTAATTATATAGAGTGATACACAAAACAAGTTTCTAAAGTATCCCTTGGAAAAATGCATGCATGTCTGTGAAATCGTTGTTAATTTAAATGCATTGTCTTGTAACATTATTCCTGTTAAATGATTAATTTTAACAAAATTTCAAATATAAAGAATATAATAAGACTTTCATTCGCTACGAATATATACAATCAGTACATTTGTAGCAAGACATAAATAAATTAAAAATCGTTTTGGAAAAAAATAAAATTTGGTAAATTCCAAAAAAAAAAACGTAAAATATAAATACAGCGTGATCAATTTAAAAAAATCAAAATTAATGGCATTTCCGGTAAAACCGAAAGTCGGTAATTTTGTTTCGGCAACATTGTCATAAATTAAAAAAAAATACAATATTTATTGACTTTAATGACTTATGACTCCGGCAAAATAATTAATTGCTGTTAATTAACATTATTTTTATTTGATTTACAAGGATTTTCTTTTTTTATTTATCTAAAAATATGCAAATATTAATTATTGCAAATGATGGCCTTTCCAAAATATTTAATAAGGCTAGGACATATTATTAAACTTGAAATATACTGTAATGTGACTCATTTCCGACCAATCATGTCATGCTCTGATCCTTTGTGCCTTTTTACAACCCCACTTGTCCTAAATAAAACCAGGAATATTTAATGAAGGGGATAAACCCCGTTTACCCAACTATAGACGCGTATGCTCACATATAGCCGTTATGAATCATTCATTCGGAAATATTCCGAGTAAAATGGTGAGAGCGCTACAATGGCAAATGGAAAGTAAAAGAATTTGGTGGATGTTTCGGGACTCCTTCGCCAATTATATAAATATGCATTTGCAGTTATGGACAGTTCAGTTGAAGTCAAGTCATAGCAGTGAGAACATTGACAAAGTAAATGAGATATTAATTAGTATAAGTGAATTGTTAAAATAAATTAGAAGTGTGAATTAAAATAGGGGGCGTAGCTCAGATGGTAGAGTACTCGCTATAATAAACCTTCATCCAGGAGAATCTCACTGAGCCAAATATGAATTAACTACTGAAGGGAGATTTGATACTTTTTGCCAAGTAGGTCTCGGCGATTTTCCTCTTTCCAATGTCGCATCTTCTTTAAAACAGGATCGTTCTCTTGCTCTTCCCTAAGTTTGGCAGGGGCCCACTCATCGTTAACTACAGTTGTTCTTAGTAGTTCACTGTCTTTGGATTCTGTTCTGTTGCAGTGAGATCACTCTTCTAGAAACATAATCGGTTTTTCTGTGGCTTATTCCGGCTCTATTTGCGATTATAAAGTCGTTCAATCCATCTGGCGAATTGATCCACCGAATTTTTGAACTGCTTCAGCCACTTCCATATAGGTATTGGTAGAAGTGTTCCACTGCCAGAAGTTCTCTTCTCGTAACGCAGTAATTTCGAGAGCACTTTACTAAAATAAGCCAGTACTCTTTCTTCCCCCCCTGATTCTGTGAAAGCACTGGCATCAGTATCCAGAATAAATTTTCCCCCTGGTAGTGGGTAGCCTAGCATTGGCGCTGTTGTTAAATTCTTCTTTAATGTTTCAAAAGCAGTTTCGCAGTCTTCGTCCCAGCAGAACTCTCTTGCTGCTTCAGTAAGTCGCGTTAATGGCTTAGCAATATCTGCAAACTTCCTGATGAATCTTCGATAGTACGTAAATAGGCGCAAACAAGGCAGAGGGACCCAAAGGATCAGAGCATGATCAGATTGGTCGGAAATGGATAACATCACAATACTTTTTAAAACTGAGGGCGCTGGCCAAGCCTTAAATATAAGTATCAATTCTAAATTATGTCTAGTAGGTTTGTCTCAATTTTATTTAAATCGCTTTATAAATGAAAGAAATTTTAACGTGGCCCTGGTCTCATTGTCACCCGGTATATACCATTTTTATTTTCAAAATAGTCTGAATTGTAACGATTATTTATTTAAACAATTTATTTATTTAAATTTATATTCACTAAAACACATTTAATAAAATGTGTATTCAAAACTATACTATTTATATCTTAAACACTTATACAGGGTGTTCCCTAATGATATGCGAATATTTAATGGTTTAAATCTACAAAAAAAAATTTGTGATAATTTTCTTTATACATTATCGTCGAAATGTCAATTTTTTTCATTCTTTAATAATTACATTAATTTTCTCGGACAATAAAACAGTTTTTATTTTTTTACTCAAAACAGAGCAACGTAGGAAAACAAATCAAGAAATCCTTTAAGTTGAAATAAATGGTAATTTTAAAATAATTATTATTTGGAAAAAAAACATTGGCGTAACATTTTTTTCTTCAAAAATATTGAGTTTAGTGCCAGTAGGCACGCTACTGTTAAAGCTGAAAATTGTTTTGTATTGAAAAATATGCACCATTATTAACTGTCACTGAATATTGAATATCACTAAAATATCTATAGCGGTTATGAAAATATTAATTTTCCTTTTTTTTTACAAAATTTCAGCACCCTGTATTTTCGTAACGAAATATTTTTGGGCCACAGTTTATAATGCAAACTATCATTAATTTTTCATTAAGGAACATCTAGTATACTGATTTATATTACCAATATTTAACTTAACAAATCCATCTCTAACCATATGCTGAACTCAAATGGCATGTGAACAATCTCGCAATCACCCGCCATTTTTTAGTCTAGCGCATTCGCCAAAATCTAGATTATTCCATATCGATGTAT